ACATTCCATGATATATCAGCCACCGCACACGCCCTGCCGTGTGCACCGCAGGTCGCACAGACATGGGAAAGGAGGTACCGGAGGAGCCAGTGTTCTCGGGTGGTGGGGTCGGGAGCCAAGGCCGGGTTTGGAAAGGTATCGGCGTGGCCCATCTTTTTATATTCAAAATATTAGCAAAAACACGATTAAAGAAAAAGAAAATAATGATTAGCACCTTGTAGTTGAACACGACGTAGTCGTCTACGCGGCGTTCGTCGAAGTAGGTGCACCCCCGAATGGCCGCGCGTAACTGGTCCACATGCTCCACCTCCGCAAACACCCGCGCTGCCACTTCCTTCTCCATCTTTCTTTTTAATTATTTCATTATTGTTTTTGGCCGGTTAGGCGAATTTTGACGACTTTACGGCAAAGCCAACAACCACCTCAAACTAAAGCAAGTGAAGATGGAAGCTGCTCAAGGTTCGCACTTCATGCCTTTGCTTGCTTTTGAAAGAAAATCTATCTCCATAATTATTAAAAATACATGAGTGGTTCATTTTATCTTTTCCAGTTGAAGGACCGAGCCCTGCGACGAGGGCCGAGGTGCTGAATGCCCGGCTGACCGCTCACGGGGCGGAGGTGGCCGATGACGATGCGGGCGACCACCATCTTCGCGTCACGCGCTACACTGGCGTCAACCCGCCCATCGCGCTCACCACCAACTACCACTGGCCCACGCGGCAAGACGAAATGGAGGTACGTAATGATCGCCAGTCTTGCTGATGCCTCCACACATGGGCTCAAGCTGAGACTGTCGGTTGGTGTGCTGCTCGGGCAGGGAAACTACTTCTACTACTCGCGGTCGGACAACCCCAACTACCTCCTCCTCGAGAAGGAGCTCACCCGACTTCACCACGGTCGGCGGTCTCTCCTCATTTTTTGATTTATTTAACACTAATTGTATTATTTAATTCTGTGTTCTTTTGTTTTATTTTTTTGATCTGCGATGACTTGGCCGCAGGCTTAATCGCTCCTCGCCCATCCACTGCAGGCTCCTCGGCGGTGGTGTTCGCCACGGGCATGGCCGCCATCTCGGCCGTCCTCCTCTCCCTGGTGCGGAAAGACAAGTGCGCATTCCCGCTTACATTCATATCATTCCTTGGAGTGCGTGTAAGCTGCTCAACGCGTGATTGCGTGTCGAACCACTAAGCGTGTTGGATGTGCTGGGCGGTTGGTCCCAGGGCGGTGGTGCGCGCGAACGAGATCTACAACGACGTGCCGCGGCTCCTGCAGGAGATGACCGAAATGAGCGGCACCGAAGTCATAACTGTCGACATATGCGACACAGAAGCGGTCATCAAGAGCGTGGAACAGGTGCGTGCGTGTCCCGGCTGTGTGAATGCCAGCGTATCGGAGTTATAACGAACCACCTTCGTTCATCGTTCATTGTTCATCGTGCTTCGTGCTTCATGTTTCTTCAGGAGAACGTGCGGGTGCTGTATTTCGAGTCGGCTTCCAACTGGGTCCAGTCAGGTTGGGGAGCATGATGGGATCGGTGCTGTCGTCGTCCTCCACGTCCGCCAGCATGTTGGCTATGGTGACGCTCATCGTGGCGACCTCCCTGGGGACTTGGAAAACCTGGCCGTCCTTGGTCTCGAGTGCAATGGACATTGTTGCGTGCGTGTATGCGGGGCACTGCTTGACGAAACAATGAGTGATCCGGCGGCCATATGAACTCACTAGGCGATAACTCCGCAAGCGGAAAAACAGGACGCTGCGGAGGGCATTCCACTTGCGACCATGCAGCACCAACCACCGAGCCGCAGCGCTGCCCGAAGGTTCAAGGCCAAGGAACACAAGAAAGAAGTGCTCTCGCTGTTCACCAGTGACAGACCCGAGATCGAGCACAGCATCGAGTCGCCGTACGTCGTCGTCATTGCGCGATCGCCGACTATCGGGACGATCGACTGGTCGGCACACGCCGTCGAATCGATGAAGACCGACGGCGTGGCCGGCGTGCTCTCGCACATCCTGCCCGCGATGGCTGCACGATTGGACGAATGCAACGACGTGTCGATATCCATTGGCATCACCTCGTTCGCCCTCTTTCTCTCGCTGGTCGTCGAATCGGGCGAGATGATCAAGCGGATGGTGCGCGATCTCGAGCAGCGCGGACGCTCCACGCTCCACGAGCGACTCAGCCACAACTTCTACTCGGGACCCCGGCTTGTCGTCCAGCGAGGCGATAGTACGCGCATCGCATCCTTTGCGTGGATACCGCCGGACATGCGCCGCGCCGATGCCATCATGAAGGTGTTTGGCGGGCTCGAGAAGAATCGCGACATTGGCAACAGACTCTTCACTCGCGAGGGCCACATCAGCGTCCGCGATGCCGGCTTCCTCCTCGCCGACAGCGATTGGTCCAAGGGTGCGTCCATCTACGAACGCAAGAAGGCGCCGCCCAAGAATCTGCCGGTCATTGACGGGCACCAGGACGACATGCGTTTCGAGTTCAGCGGTGCGCCCTTGGATCTCTCGGTGACGCTCGGGCTGCTCATGGAGCATGGCTGGGTCGAGCGCGCAGTCGACACCATCATCCACACGATCACCGAGATTGATGGCGGGTACGTTCAGTCGCCGTTGCTGGTGCGATGCTCCACCCACAAGATGCTGTCGGCCATGGTGGCCCACATCGACCACAAGCTCAAGGTCGCCTTGGAACGCGACACGCGCATGAGGGACAAGGGCGACGAAAGCGCGGCGAGGCCCTGCTGGATGCGCACCACCGACAAGGCCCGCCCCGATGATCCGAGGTGGATGATCGCGCCCCGGCCCAAGGATCCGTTCCACTACACCCACACCAAGGAACCCCTCTACTTTTTCTTATTGCCCGCAATCATGAGCAAAAAGAGTGAGGCCACTACCAATTACATCCAACCACCGGTAGCTAAGCGTCGATTGGGTTTCGCTGGCGCTTCCAGAGCTCGCCGTTTGAGTGTGCTGCAGCAGCATTTTTTGGAGGGACACACCCACAACAACACACACCTTCCGCGTGCCAACACCTTTCCACGGAGTGGGAATCGAACCCAACCACTACCATGACCCGTCAGGGATGGCCGCCTCCAGACTGTTTCCGTGGTTGTTTTGAGTGAGGGCCGCCCTGGGATCGAACCAGGAACCGCTCGCTCTGCGGGCGAGCGCTCTACCGTTGAGCTAGCAACCCTCGTTATGTGCTTGGACCACAAGTGTATACTTGTGCGGCAAATTTCGTGCACCATCTACAATGTGACTTGGGGCACGCTACGCTTTGTTCACAACTTCCAGATCAGTTGGAAAACCGCGAAGTTAAGAAGATAATAAACCCAAGTGACCTGGACCGCAAGGTGCTCTAAGAAACCTTCCTGATAAAGTACTTAATAACAACTTTATAAGAGTCAAATCATCATCTTATTTATTATTTCATCCGTTCGACATTACAACCATGAGACAATCCCTGAGCTACTTGCTTTTGGCCCTACTCCTGGCTTCTTGCTGCTGGGCTTGCTCTTCCTCCTGCTGTTCTTCTTCGCCTTCTCCTCTGCCCTTTGGAGTTGAAGAATGCAGGGTAGGCTCTCAGCTACAAACCATCTTATGCTGATAGGGTGTATCACTTACCTTCTTGTGTAGGACACTTCGCTGATGGACGCTTTTGACTCTGCTCTCGCCATCATTAAAGCCAATGGTAGCTACGCTGAGATCTTTGCACCTGAACTCAGCTCAGGAGAACGTATGTCTTCCGCTCTCCTCTAGCCGTAGAAGAATCTCAAAACCTTCATCTTTTTTGTTTAACCACCAGTGTTCATCCCCTTGGATTGTGCCGCCAATCCGAGCCTCTTCCCGTTCCCTGCACGCACACCAGGCACCCTCTTGGATACCGTACTCAGCCGTGGAACCATTCGAATGATTAGTTTCGCACCCGATGATGTACATCAGCCTCACCGTCCCCTTAGGCTTGGTGAATTTTTTTTAACTTCTAATTCTTCTTACCCTCGTGCCAGCCTGAGCTAGGCCCACTTATGAATCTGATGGTTTCGATCATTTCCGACCACTACGGCGTCCCCTTGACGCGGGTGGTGTTGGCATTCCCGGACAACTCCACCATCGCCATTGAGATGCTTATCGCTGGTATCGTCGACCTTGTAGGTCCCGACTTCTCGTTAGGTCCGTCCTTCCGCATGCCAAGCGTGATCTTGCTAGCTCTCTTATACCTTGTTTCCAAAGGCGGGGAGTTCATGGGCATCGCCAGGAAGCGTGTCACCCAACAGTCCTGCGCTACTCTCGACGGCTTGGGGGTCTTCACCGTGCTGGATAACTCTCCATTCACCTCTTTTGCAGACCTCCAAGCCGCCCCCACGCTGACCACCTTCACCAACGCCGCAGGTTCTGAGAATTCTGGCTCCTACCCTTCCATTTGTTCTGTGGCTAACATGTTGCAACAGGCGCCGCTACCGTCTATTCTTCCGTGTTACCAAACCTGGAAATTACCGCCGTGGATGCGACGATACCCGATGCCGATCTCGTGGCCGCCTTGCGAGCTGGCACGATTGATGTGGTGATCAACCTCAGCGTGGACTATCTGGCCTCGGAGAGCATTGACGTGACAGGGCTCAGGAGCTTCTCCGGCGGCTTCGATGATCCTAACGGGTCGCTCTTCGCCATTCGCTGCCTGCCGAAACACTGCTGCGGCAAGAAGAACAAGAAGTGGGAGAAGTCGACATGATACCTTCTGGTTCGCACACGGGCGTCGACGCAAAGGTTGCAGAAGAAGGCCACGTGTCACACCTCGGGTAGCGATACGGAACGTAGCGCGATCTGGCCACTTTTTGAAAAGAGCTCCATAAAAGGCTTCATTTGTTCATTTTAGACACATAGAGAAGAAGAACGACATACAAACTCCAGTTTTTTCATTCTTCTTCTAGGTTATCTACAACGATTTGCCTCTCTTCTTTCGGTGGGTGCTTGGCGGCGGCTCGCAAAGCTGGAAGAGGAGAATCGAATGCTCAAGGGCAAGGTGTCCCACCTGCCGTTGCGGATGTTCCATCTCAAAGGCTGCCAAAAACACGGACCTTTCGCTCTGGACTCTACGGGCAACATCTACGCTGGAACCGACTGCGGGTCGATCGCGATCTACAGCGGCGCAACCGGACAGCGTCTGAGAACGGTGAAGCCACCACATGCCAGCTCGGTCGAAGGCGGCCTCCGCGGTATCGCTGTGGCACCCGACGGCTGAATCTTTGCGACATTCGGGACCGATGTCTTCGTCTTCTCCGCTCAAGGGACGTTGACACGTACCCTGGCGAAACCCTGCTGGCGGTGGTTTTGCCTTTGCTTGGACAGTCAGAGCAACCTATACCTTGCGAATGGCGAGGAAGGCGGCGGGCGGGCCCTCGATCAAGGTGGACATTCGAACCGAGTGGTAGAGGTGCCCGGCCGCACGGTTGCTGTCGATGCGGCCGGGAACATCTACACGGCATGTGGCGGGTACTCCCCGAGTTATGGCGTTACGGTGTATAACGCCCAGGGCCACAAGGGGCGCTCATTCGGTCCCGACATGATGAACCCCTCGAGCATCGCCATCGACAGCAAGGGCAACGTCGCCGTGGCCACCGGCTTCTGCGTACAGGTATTCGACCGAGAGGGGTGTTGCGGCGTAAAGGGAATCACCGGCTGGCTCGAACGAGATGACGGTTCCACTTTCACAAGACCGACGGCGGTCACGTTCGATGCCGACGACAACCTCTACGTGCTCGACAACTCCCGCCGCATGCAAGTGTTCTCTCCCGATGTATTGGCTGAGTTACTAGGTCAATGAAACACAGGGCACGATTTCAAACCGTTACTAACCGTTACCTCGTTTCAGGTGCAATGGTTGGGAGGCGTGCAACGCGTGGCAACATCATGATGCGCACACCAGAAGGGCATAGGGCCAGAAGTTAATCCATCTTCGTTCCTTGCCGATGCCAATGCAAAAACCTCCCACGCCATGCTACCCATGTAATTTTGACGATGGCTTTGCCTATCTTCCTTTGAGACCAACGCAATGCCACCCACTCATCCCACGGCACGAGAATGTTTGATTCGTTCTGGCCTGCTGTTCGTGCCAACTCGATGCCTTGCGGTTGGTGCTCGCTCAGGGGTTTGCCTTTAGCGCGGCCGAGTGCATGCAAGCCGTGCTGGACACCATACTCAATGATCTGGGCGTGGGGCACGACAGCGAGATATCGGATGAGGACTTCGGCCGGACCGACTGGGATCGCATCTACCGACCCGTCAACGGTCCCAGCGAGCAGTTCTGGGATGGAATGGCTTTCATCGCCGGCATCCGGGAACACCCCGAGCTGGCGAAATACACACCATGGATCAAGCAGCGAACCGTTCCCGGTGCACCCCTGGGCCAGAGCGAGATGCATCACGTGCGAATGAAATAGGTGACGTCTGCCAAAAAGGAATGACGCAGCAGCGAGGGGTCGAACCTCGATCTCCACCCGAAGGAGGCGGCTTTCCATTAGCCCACCGCCGCTATAAAATTCTCGCCACGAGGGGGTCGAACCTCGAACCTTCAGCTTATGGGACTGGCGCTCCACCCATTGAGCCATGGCGAGTTCCGATCTCGGTCGGCTTTGATCCGACAACCTTGGCCTCCGATTGCGCCACGAGACCTTTGTTGCTGGTGTTTAAATCCGAAGTTAAAAAAAGGGGGATTGTTATTTATCGTGGGTGTGATGCATGAAGCTCGGATCGGCAAATAAAGTTGTCTCGATCATCAACAGACCAGAAATTGGCGGGCGACGTGAGGCCTCACGGACGCGCTCGTGCTCGTCGGCATCGAGGTGATCTTGAGCCCCTCGAGATCCAGTGTATAGCGTTCGGCCAGAAAGTCGACGATGTGCCACTGTTGCGATTTCGCGGCTGTGATGATGGCCATCGAGTACGTCCTGCCTCCCTTTGCGATGGCGTACTCGACGCAATCCAGTTTGCCTGTCTCTGCGGCGATGTTGAGACACCAACTCGGATTCCTCGCCTCGCCCCTTTCAAAGAGCCTCTTCAGCTCATCCAAGTCACCTCTGTGTGCCGCGGGTGTTGCTAGAGCTCCGTCTTCCACGGGCGAGGGAAAAAGTGCAATAACGGGCGCGTTTTTTTCACTGTGGTACCACAAATACAACCCGCCACTTCACCTTGTCCTTGCCGAGCATGTCGAGTGCCTCCTGCTCCTTGTCCGTGGGCATGAGATCGCCTTTTCGAGCGATGCGATGGGCCGTCCGCCCCTTCTTTCTTCCGTTCGTCGTGTTCTCTCTTTTAATATTCCCCCCCCCGGTAACATTGCGACCAACTGCGTACCAGACATCGTAATCGAATCGGGCACCAAGTACTTGAGCGGGAAGGGGGATGTTCTCCTCGGAGACGTGGTCTTCAGAAAGAAGCAAGGTTCGGCATGTCTTTCGTTCGCAACGATTTTTGCTCAATCCTAACACGACACGACACGACACGCACCACTCAACACGCTCACGCCACGCCACGCCCACTACACAACTGACAGCCGATCAGGGAGATATAACGCAGCGCGTGAAGCGTTGGCGCTCGGTCGGAGGCGGGTCGCCCACGCCCATGTCCTGCTGGCTCGTCAGCAAGGGCCTGGAGACACTTCGCCTGCGCATGCACCACGCCACCGCCACCGCTCTCGAAGTGCGTCTTGCCTCCACACTCGTCTTCCGACCTCGTCTCTTGTCCTAAGCTGACGTGGGTCGCGTGCCGTGTTTTAACAGGTGGCCAGGTTTCTTGAGACGGTCCCGTGCCTCAGCCGCGTCGTGTTTCCCGGGCTGGCCAGCCACCCGTGCCACACGCGCGCGGTCAAGTACTTTGGCGAGAAGAACAGCGGCGCGGTGCTCAGATTCCACATATGTCTCTACGGCCCGACCGTGGACCAGATGCTGACCGACCCGCATCCTTTCATGCACGCCGTCTCGCTGGGCGAGT